ATTGCATCTACAATAGATTGTTCAAGTAATTTGGAATTGACACATTCCTAGTAGTTCCCAGCCATGTTTGTTTGGAAACAATTAAACAAAACTTGTTTAAAAAATAATCTGTTGAGGCATTTTCCCCATCTCTTTCAGCAAATAATTCAGCTCCAGAAGTTTCACCACAGGTTTTATAATGTATGTTTTTTTTCACCTGGGTCATTTCTTACCCATGTGAAAGTTCTACCATCTCACTTTTTGCCTTCAACAGTTTGAAAACTAGGGAAATCATTAATATTAAGAAGAATGCCAAAGACGATAGTTTTCTCATCTTGTCTTTGTTTCTCTTTTCCTCTGGGCCACATAAGGATATTCAAGTCAGCAGAGACAGTGTTACTCTTTAAAAAACCTGCTGATTTAATATTTAGTAGGTGATGGATTCCACCTCAACAATCAGACTCGGGAATAAAAATAGTCTGAATCCCACTCGGTGCCATCCACAAATCCATAGATAGAAACCCAAAGTATTGTACAGCACAACATTTCCTGCTCAGTAAGCTTGAGACAAGCTGCTGTGATTCCCTATATATACACATATATTCTGAGCTGATGCCTGTCAAACCAGCCCCTGGTTAAGTGGCAAGCATAATATAGCTTCCTTTCCCTAGAGGTAACTGTCCTCATTACTGAGGCGAATGAACCCCTAGGTGTATAATAGAATCTTCTTTAAAATATTCATCATATGACAGCTGATATTTCAGCCATATTTGGCTGGAATGATACATTTTAGGAAACTTAGGACTCCATAGTCAATTAACCTAGTATTTTGCTCACCATCTAATTTTTTTTTTTTATCACAAATCATTAAAAATTTATATTAGTATGTAACTTGTTATTCTCCTGTTCAGGACTGAGTCAAACATGCAGACCAGGTTTTCTCTTACTTCAGCAATATCCATTAAAACATCTGGACTAGCAAAGCTGAAACTTTACACTTTCCCTCATCCGGAAAACATCAACTTCTCCAAGGTGAGTCACATCATCCAGCATGGTTCTGTTTCCTTCACACTTCTCAGAATCAACACTTCAGGCTGTGAAAACCTCCCTCTGCCAGCAGGTCTCAGGAAGACCATGGGTAGGCAGGGGGAAATAACACAGGGGCCAGAGTACCAGAAATCAGCACAAAAAAATGTGTAGGGAGAGAACAAGACAAATAGAGCAGCTGTTATTCACACCAAACATTTCCTTGTTCAAGCATCAAACAGTGCTGTTCTTTCTGACTCTCTCTCACTCTTACTTCTTTCTCCAAACAAACACTGCATTTTTCCCTGCCTACTCTTCCCATTATTTTCCCTACCTGTTCTTAATTACAGCCACAAACTTCAGAAGGTCCTATTCCACATGCCTTCCACTGTATTATCTCACAGGTGCCTCTGCCTCTTCACTTGAACCTTCCAGCAGCTTTCCCTGTCCTGTTCCATGAGAGGCACATAAGGCAGGCACAAAAATGAGCCCTGCCAGGGCAGGGGAGAGTGTCACCGACATGCAAGGCTGCTCAGGAAGTTTACACAGCACTTGCTCAAACTCTGCAAGCCTTCCTGACACCAGCTCAGCATTCCAGCACACCAGCACAATTTTTAAGTGATTTCTCATGTGATTAGTGCTGTCTCTCCATTCCCACATGCTACTCAGACATTAGTGGCAAAAAAAAAATAAAAAAAGTCATTCTTACTCTCATCAGGACTTGTTTGTCATCAGAATCCCTCTTTAGTTTTAGTCATTTGCTTAGTTTTAGCCTACTTATCTCATTATGCTGGTCTAATTAAAATCATTTGCTGACAAATATTGTCAGTAATGTAACAGTTGGCTAAATTAACACTGGCTTAGCCCTAGTTTTGTTATCAGCTTAACTACACAGCACTGATTGATGAGCATTTTAAAGCAGGAATTCCTTTCTTCGGGTTAAATGCAGAGAAGGCAAAGCTGGAGATTTGAATGTGATACATCAACAAGTCTTACCAGAAGAAAGTCAGATATAATTGTGCAGAAGTCAAACCAAGCTCACATCTCCACAACTTCCCTGCAAGCTTGGTCAGAAAAACAAAGACAAATTTGGCCCAATCTGTTAAAACAGCAGGAGCAGAGCTTAATATCTTGTTCTAAAATTACTGTTACAAGAAGTATATCTTGTAGTCTGATTCTTATTTACTTTTTTGGCATAAATTGAGTATTTCTAGACAACAATTATTCCTACAGACAAAACTTAATTGCAATATTCATCACCAAATATGTCTAAAGGATAGGGATGCTGAAGTATTTTACAGTGAAAACACATCCAATTTTAATGATGTTCAAAAGAAGAAATGTTTATTTATGGATTAAAGTACACAAAGATCTGCTGCTCACACTTTCTGAAATACTGACAGCTTTTTGCTTTTTTTTTTTTTTTTTTTTTTTTTTTTTTTTTTTTGAGAAAAAGAGAGTGCAAGGGAAGGAAAGACTTCACATCTTATAAATAGTTGTGATGAGTGGATCAATGTTCCCAGCAGACAGGTAGAGAGCTCCTGGGTCTTTTGACATTAGTTGAGATCAGGTGATATATAACTGAAGTCTGAAGACAAAGTTGCCTCTAAGAGGTTGCATCTGGTGAAAGGGTGGAGATGTCCTGATAACCCATTACAGCTGCAGGGGGATGTCTCAACATGTCCTGAGAAAGACTGCATATTTCTGTTTGGGGCTGAGGTTTGCTGCTGTTCAAATTAAGTGACATCATATTAACACTCCTAAAGAACAAAAAAGGTAGAATCCAAACCAGAACAATATCCTATAGAAGAGTGCTTTCTATTTAGTAGGTTCTCATGAGGGGATAAAAAAAAAGCATAACTACATATCTAAGATTGGCTCCTCTACTGAAAACCTAAATTGAAAACAACTTTAAGAGAAGATGCAAAGGTTCCAGAGCAATATATAAATATAACAGAACCATGAAAAAAATACAGAAAAAAATCCAGGTTTTGGATAAAATTTTCAGAACATCCTTTCCCACTTCAGGATTTTGCAAGCACCATTTATTGAATGAGAGCTGCTGCTGTTGATCTTCAGAATGATCCATTAGATGAGGGTGCACAGAGATATTACAGGGGGAATACCAACCTCCCAGAGATACAGATTGAGCCTGCTTGGAATCGGATATTTGAAAAGAAACTGTGGCTGTACATAGACTTGACAGTGCTCCAGAGAACCCAGCTTTGCACAGGTTCTAGCAAGTTAACTTGCACAAGAAATGCAATGCCAACTGTTTAAAAAAATATAATTTGGCCTGGGGAGAGGAGTAAGTGAGAAAAGGGAAATATAACATACAGGTAATCCTTTTGCTCTGAAAACTGCTATCAATGGCCTGCTGTTGAACCATCCAAGGACAAGAAAATATGCAATCTGCTGCCATTATTACAGTCCAGTTCTCTCTGGATTCAACTACAGGAAAAGAGTAAGTCCAGAGTTAGGTCTCAGCTTACACTGCATGGGCCGAAAAAGAAAAAAAGACAATTTTTGCTAAGCCAGCTAACAACATGCTGCTGCTCTAATGCTCTGCCTCAGGCCATGCAGCCTCAGCTACACCATCTGCCCTGGAAAGACTCCAGGGAGGAAAGAGCAGCTGAGAGTGCAACAAGTTGAGGATCCAGTATAACCATGACTGTTCTGTGCTATGAGTTCACCTGAAACCTCACCTCTCCAGTTCCTCTTTCTTGTTCTTAGATACCTACTTTGTTAAATTATTTTTGATGTGTCCTCCTCTATCCAGATGTCTTAATTACTCGTTTCTCACTAAGTGCTGGTTTCATATGCTTTTCCAGTGTGTAACCTTCTCCCTGAATTCACAAGGCACAGCATCCTGGTGAAATGCCACTTACAATGGAGGCATTAGGCACCAGGAATAAAACACAAGTTGAGATTGTTTTTAAGAGCAGTAACCCCTTCCAAGATCTTGTGACATCAGTTATCAGAAACAAAGTTAAAATGCTTTTCCTGTTTTCAGGAGCAACATTCCCATTGATTTTAACACTGCAGGATGTGCCCCTGTGCATTGAAACAAATCACCTGTATGTGAATGAGGTCAGGATGAAGTAACCTCCAGCAAAGCAATTTCTTCTCTTTTGATTCTGAGGAGTAATAGTAAAAAGATCTGTCCCTTCAATCTGTATCTCAGCCAAGTCACCCACAAATAGATACAGCATTCTGGATCACACTTTTTTTTCCCATCCCTTGACATCTTACCATTTTGTTTATACATGTCCTTTTCACTCCTGACATGCAAAAGTTACCAGCTTTATATGGGGCCATAATGCAAAGATGTGTGAGCTTTCTGAAGGTAGACAGGGCTAGCCAAAGAGTGAAATCCAATGGTTTCCTAGGGGAAAGGACAAGGCAGTATGAATCACCTGCAAACTTCATGTGAAAGCTCCATTTTGGATAACCAGTTGGGAAGCAGATTGGGGATGTCAAAGTGCAAATCTACAAATTCAGGTGGAGAACATGACTAGTGTGCTGGCAGTCCAACATACACCCCCTTTGAAACTCTCATTCACAAGAGAGAAAGAGGAACTCATGAGCTGCCCTGCCTCAACCTGCACAGCAGAGGAGCTGTGGCTGTTCCCTTGTTACACACTGTACACCCTAACACCCCTTCTACCAACTTCAGAGGCAGCAATTCCCCTGGGGATCTCCACATCAGGCCAGAAAGTGCTCCTGGCAGTGCAGACTGTTGTCCTAAACCCCCTCCATGCTTCCCAGCTGTACACAGTTCCGTGTGACAGGGATGGATCCTGAGGACTGAGTGCACACCTGAAATATTTTCTATTGTCTTCATGACATCAATGTCAAATCACATTACACTGAGAAAGAGCAGGATAGGAACCTTGCATGGCATCACATGAATTGCTGAATGGAAAATGTACATAACCTGGAAACTGTCTTCAAAACTCATTTTAAAAAGAGACTTTGGAAAAATCTGACATTGCTTTCATCTTTACAGATGGATTAAAGAAGACACCTGAAAATAATTTAGAAAGCTGCCTATATTTTTTACATACATACACATCACTTTCTGCTTTTCAATACCCAAATCCTGATTATTTCTACTGGTCTTACTGCTCTGCAGGCAAGCACTGCTTCTCTGCTGCTAGCTCATCACATCCCCACGGTGAATGCAGGATCTGCTCTTACATGTTGAGAACTAGCACAGAGCAGACTTTAATGATCAGAAAAGTACATATTACACAGGCAATTGCAAACATTTCAGTTCTTGGGATTTTGAAGGAAGTTGCTTCTATACTGCAGTTACACGGAATGTTTTCTGAAATACTCCCGTGTATGTTTGAGTCCGTCCTTGGGATCTGGATGGATTACAAAATCTGGCTTGTAATGGTTTATATTATCAGGGCTTACCACTGCCAAATCCATGTCCTCTGACATCTCTGATAGAATCCCATCATCAGTTCAGGGAATATGAAGTGATACCCAGCAGCCCAGGAAAGGATACAGATGTTCAAACACTACAGGAGACAAAGTCAAATTTCCTAGGCCAGAGAAGAATGTGAGGAGAAATGAAGTAGAAGGAATGAGCAAAACGTCCTCTTTCAGCAGGTCCATGTGGGCATGGGCACATCTCTCCACTCAGTTTGCAGACTGAAGCCACTGTGATCTTCCTGCTCCTGGAGCATTGCACACTCAGCTTCACATGAACATCAAACATGCTGTGAGGTTCAGAAAGGAATCTGTAGGGAAAATGAAAAAAAGGAAATGCAGCATAAAAATATTCTCTCAGGACAGAACTGGTCAGAAGAGCAGAGGATGCAGATCCAGACATCCACTGGCAGTTCTTACCCAGTGGTATCTATCCCCTGAGTGTCCTTTGGCAGATTCTGCTGAAGTGACCCATTTGTTGCAGCCCATATCCAGGGAGCATGAGCTGTGCCACCACACCAGCTGGCATTGTTTCAGATGTGTCACAGAACAGAAGAGTGAACCAAACAGGGACACAATTTTTGTTCCTTAAAGGGAGAAGACATTGGGAAAAGCTACCTGTAATGACTCTGACCTTAGCATAAATTGAGGTGTTTACAAGGCCTTTGCTCTCTATAAACAAATTTGGAGGGAGAAAGTTATTAGTTTGGCACATTTTGCCAGCTGTGTGACCTGTTTATACTCCACTGTATTTTCACAAGTGCAATGTGTAAAAGGCAAACATCTGCCCATCTGAACAAAGACAGTAAGACAGAGATGTCCTGTGACACCACAGGGTACTCAGAAAAATCTCCAAGGAGTTTCAGAGGCTGTAAGGAGGAGGAGATGCCCTGCTCACAGCAGGCCTGCTCTCCTCTCCTGGATCATACCAGAGCACTGCACACTGTGTCTATGGCTTTCCATGCATGGAAAAAACAATGCCAAGGAATCTTTTAGATAACAGTCTTACCAAGTGTAGTCAAGAGTTTAATGAAACCAGCTTTCACAAATCAAGTGAAGAGCTCTGGACACAATCCAGAAGAGGATGTTGGGAAGCAAATTACTGTGCTGAAAATACATTGGGTTCCTATGTCTAAATTTTAAAGTATTCAATTGTACTTTGTGGCTATTTCCCTCTGTAACAACCAAGAAAGTTGAAGGGACTCTGCCCAGAAATGAATAATAGTTGCTTTACAATGGGTATCTGAGACTTCCATTTCCCATATTTCCATCCTTACAATTGAGATTCACAGTCCCAAATCCTTCCATTAAATTGCTGACCAAAATAATGCCATTGCAATTAGTACAAGCAGTGGAACAAAGTTTAGATTCTGTGCAAGTTTACATGCAATCAAAAAAGTACATTTATTAGTATGTAGCAGATGCTTTTTAGCTTATCTAGTCATGTTAAATATCCAGCATTGATCAACTACCTATATTTTTTTAAAAATTAGCCATGACACAGATGGTAGTATCCAGATTATGGCAGCCACCAAAATTTGTGGTCCAGGTTTCCATGTTCTTGCAGCTGGAGATCAATATGGCCAGACAGAGCAAAACTGTGCACAGAACACAACCACAGCATCAGGCCAGGCTGGATGGGGCTTTGAGCAGCCTGATGTAGAGGAATATGTCCCTGCCCATGGCAGGGAGTATGGAACTAGATAATCTTTAAGGTCTCTTTCCACCCAAATTGTTCTATGATTCTATTATTCTACCAGTAACCTTTTCTTTTCATAGATGACCTTTTATATCTGTCTATTCCTTTAATATCTGCTGCTTTTGAGGACCAATTTTATTCTACTTTAGGGAAAAACTATTCTTTTCCCTAATGGGAATAATCTGTAGCAACCACTAGTCAACTTTTCCAAGAGATGCCCATTCAAAAGCATGTTCCAGAGACCCACATAAATTGCATAAAAAAATATGCTCTGGCATATTGCAAGTGCACTGAATGCTTGACATTTTTATGATTATGCTAATGTTGTGACATTTGATGGGCTTGATTTTGAAAAAAAAAAACCCATGCAATTAAGTTCTCTGAAAGAAAAGCAGAAAGAAACAGATCAATCACTGAGAAGGCAGAAAGAATGAAAACTGCTTCTACCAGCTTTAGCAACAAATGCCTGCTAAACATTTGAACTAGATATTTCAGATTTGTCAGTTTTACTGTGAAAGTAAAGAGCACTTGTAGGATGACTTTCAACTTTTAGCACAAGCAGTGGTTTCACTTTCACCTCTCCCTCTGCCTTTGAAGTATAATAGCATTTGTCATGAAATTACTCTATCACTGAAAGAATTACAACTCTTAGAAAAATATTACTTCCATGTAGACAATTTCAAAATATGCATAACCCAATTAGGTCACAGAACCTTGCTTTTAACTTTATGCCCTCTTAAAACACTGCTTCAGTTATATCCCAAATTAAAGTAGGAGAGAGACAAGATTTATAATGACCAATATAAATAATTTAATAATTCCTCTCACTCACCTAAAAACCTGAAGATTAACAGAAAGAACCAGAGAACTGAAAGATGCTCTAGTGGAACAGCAGTGTTTGATGGCAGGAAGGCTATGTGAATCCGAGCTATGAAGTCAAGAAGAAACAGAGAAGAGCAGCAGACATTGGAGGAGAGCCACAGCAGGATCCAACTGTTTATTTTTGGTACAAAACTACAGAAAACATAAGAAATGGCTACAGGTTAATTAAGCAACCTGAATTAACTTAGTTGCAACTTTGGAAGCAAATTAAAAGCACATTCATTACCTCAGGTACTGTATACATTTAATCTCTTGTTAAAGACAACTACTACTCAGATTGAGTCTAAAAATAAATCTAACTTAATGGATATTTGCTATTGGTGAAATCAAGGATCAGCTTAACTCCAAGAAATTCAATTCCTTACATAATACATAATCAAGGCAAAAATAGCAAGCTTAGGAAACTGCAAAAAGAGACTACAAAAAGGGGTTTGATCAAGAAAATTGCATTCATGGTCAATTTTTGGCAAATCCTGAGTTAAACTCTGAAAAGAAAGTTATAGAGAGGACCAAGGTAGAAAACTGTAGGAGCAGTTTCAACTCTTTTCCCTGAGACAGTGAAAGATAACAAATTTAAGTGAAAGAACTGGTCTGAAACTGAAGGGAAGAAATAAAATGGATTTCCAAAATCAAAAGGAATGAACCAGCAAAACACAAAGTCTAAGAAAATAACATCTTCAGCAAGACTCAAAGACTCCTACATTTTTTCTGTTCCTAATAAAATGTGTCCACCTGAACTTCATCCATGTTCTCAATATTTGGCTTTTTTCAGATACATATACTCTGGGATTAATAATGAAGAGCCACTTGATTTATAGAAAGATCTCCTTATATGATTGGCATGGCAACAGATGCAGCATTTCTCAAACAGAACTGACATCTCGTGGGTCCCTCTTTTGCCATCCCTCCAGTAATGACATGAATCTTTCCTGAGTTACTTTCCATAAGCATAAAAGTAAACCCAAAGCTTCCTTCTCTTGGGATGTTTTATCTTGGAGAGATGTCAATATCCCAAGTAGTTCTTTCCTTGGTCATAGTCTCTAACAGACACGTCCTGCTTTTGCTGGCTGCAATGTCTTTGAGAAAGTTGACTGGCCAGTGGTGGTCAGAAGGGAAACAAAATCTGGAGGGACAGAGTGTTTATTCCTACTGAACTAGGTGCTTTAGGTAGGTCTATGCCAACATCTGAACCCAACTACAAACACACTGCCCACTAAGTTATGCACTTAGCAGAGGTACACCCCAAAATCTTAAGATTTTAAGCATGGCAATTAGCTTTTCAGTGCAGACCAGGGTCTCAGCTACATGACGACTGAACCAGACCAAACAGTCTATTTTATCCAGCTGAGACCAAACTGTGATTATTTTGGGTAGATTTCATCTGATTATAATCCCCTAGAGTGTAGATGTTTATATCTGAGCTAGTTAATTTAGGTTGGTTGGGGATCTTAAGTTAAAGAAGAAAAACAAGTGTTTAAAGATGGTTCATCTGACCTATTTTTGCTGATCTACACTGCAATGGCATCAATCACACCTTAAACTTTGTTAAATCAAATGACTCAGCCTCTGACTTGATAAACAGAACATAATTATTGGCATAGAAATTTTGAACAAAATGAAATCTTTTGCTGAAAATGGAGACAAGAAACTGCAGCCTACTAGACTCAGTACACCTAAATTCTTCTTCTAGCACTCCACATATACCCTGCAATGAAGCTACTTTGTTTTCCACCAGTAAAGAAGACCTTTGGCTTTTTCCATCTTAGATTTGTTATCTGATTTGTGTAATGCAGATAAGTAAAATTATATTTAGCATGAATATTTTTTGCAACTTTCGTGAATCCAAATCAGAAATAGAATTGTGCCTAGGGCATTCAGTCTTGAACATCTGGATGTTGTAGGTTCTACTAGATACAGAAAAATGCCTTATCTGAACTTTGGTTTGAATTAATTTTCTAGCCAAGCTCTACTAGTAGAAATAAACAGGGTTTAACATAGTAGAATATCAGACTTTAAATGCACCATAAACTGATGCGGTTTTTTATAAACCCAAACCTGACTAATTAGGGTTTTATAAAAAAAAATGCTCATTATAATTAAATGTAATGACAATATCCATGGCTTTAAATTAAGGTTCAATCAGAATTAAAACAGCTTCTGCTAAATTAAATTATTTAAAATACAAGTTGAATTTGTATTTTAAATACAATATAGGAAAATAAGGAAATAAGGAAAGCATGTAAAAATACAAAAAGAAAAACCCCAAACTCACAGATATATATGTTTTCTTTATCAAATGGTGTTGTGAAAATTAATTTATGAAATAGCCATAACTGTAACAGTAAAGTCAAAGTAAAATGTAAAATAAGATTAATACTTTCCAGATTTTCCAAGATTTTGGTTACTTCTGCATTGCCAGTTCTCTCATTTCAAAGTGCTGAGTTCACAACCATGAAAACTTACAGCTGGGGTTACCCAGCATCTCTGAATATCAGGTTCAGAGCACCACACCTTCTTTCAAATTTAGAAACTTCTTTTGACAGTATTTGCTGATGTATGTGCTATACTGTCAAACTCCTTAAACCACTCACAAGTCATTCCTGAGACCGAAAAGATCAAACCTCAGTTCCACTGAATGCTGAGTCCTGACACTAATTGTAATAAGTAAAAATTACCCTCTGTAGAAAGAAGTGGAGGAGGTGTATATTAAGTTATTTGTTGGATTTCTCTTAAGGAGTCTGCCTTACCTTTGAGTCATTCTATAATAAATACCATATCATTGCTCAATTGTATGGAAATGGTGATTAGTGGTTCTGCAAATGTTTTGTTTGGGATTTGCATTTTCTCATCAAAGGAATGTCTCTGCCTTCATATGCTGTCAGCCTCTTTCAGATGAGACAGCTCAGCACAGAGATGCCTCAAATATATCAGGAAGAAAAGAAAATATATTAAACCACAAAGAAATGTAAAAGTGACACACAGAGATTCCGAGTTCAACCACAAGGGCTTGGAAATTAAGGGAGTTGTGGCAAAATATTTTGGGTTGACTAAAATACCATGCCCTGAAATTTAAGCTACTTGTTTGAAAAAGAAATTTCAGAGACTAAGGCAGAATGAAAAGCAGCAGGGGATTTCAGCTTCTGCTCCCAATTTCTGGCTTCAAAATCTTTTTACTTTATTTTACAAGTAAAACTTTGGGGGATATGTATATTATAAACAGCTGACGAATACATGCACTGTAGACCTTCAGCCATGAGGGAGTGGTTAGTAATGAGGAAGAGATAATAGTGTGGAGCCACCAACCACTTCAGAGCTCCTGAGATATCCCTGAGTTTTAATAGGTCTCTCCCACCATACCATGTGGTCGAGGAGCTCCAAACTCATTTGCATTGTGATGATAATGTTGAACAAAATTTGCTGTGTCTGAAACCAAAAGACAGTTCTTTGGGGTTATTGATTTTGTTAAGAAGGATGGAATATTTTGTTAAGATGCTCACATGTACTTACTGCTGGCTATCACTATAATGCCATGATAAGAAATATCCATTTATAATAATTTTTAGCCTTGTTGGAACAAAATTAAATTCTACTTTTCCTTCAGCATGTCTAAAACTGTAAACCTGCAGTAACTCATCACATCCTTCATATATGCTTTTAATCAACCTGCTTCAAATATATGTTGTGTAGCCAGTATGATCATAACAGCTTGAAATTAATGAACCTTAACTGCCTTTAATTCTAAATGGATACCACTGCAAGCATGAAGTAGCCCTACACTTGAAGAAGCAGGTGTCCATATAGACTAGAAAGAGGACTGAGCCACAGACTCTGGCTATAGGACACTCCTGATGTGAAAAAGTTCATTTAGAGCCCACTGCTTACTTAAACATGCGGTATAGCAACATATCAAAACAGGCTGTTTTATCTTTGTCAAGTCTTCAGTTTTGTGAATTATGATGGATAAAAAACTTTAAATAATCTAACAATTAAATTAGTTTATTGATTGTTTTTTTTCTGTAAAAGGATTTTCTTGACTGCTGTCTCAAGATGTTGGCATCCTATACACAAAATATAATATAAGCAATCATTGTGTTTCTTACAATGTTCTTTAAAGTGAACAGAACATTGCATTTTCTAGTACCAGTCAAAGTCTGAGAACACCAGAAGACATATCATTTGGAACTAAATGAGATGTAAATTTACAGTTTTAGGATACCCACCCATTAGGTGTGAGGTGAACTCATTCCACGCAAATCTGATGTAATAACAGACAAAAACTAGCAGCCTCACAGCCACACAATGTATATTCTTCTCCCTAAGGTTTGTATTTCCACTCAAGACTTGGGCAACTCTTCTATTTCACATGATCAATAAGTGGCTGCTCAAACAGTATACTCTACTGATATAGCCCTCATCTGATCTGTCACTGGATTCACTGCCCATGAAAGTCTGGAACAGAAATACAGCATTCATTTAGAACCACAGAATGGCCAAGGTTGGAAGGAACCTCTTGAGTTATCCAGTCTAACCCCACTGCTAAAGCAGGGTCACCTACAAACAGCTGCCAAGACCCATGACTAGACAGTTTTATATCTTTGGAGAGGGAGGCTCCACATGTTCTCTGAGCACCCTGTGGCAGTGCTCGGCCACCTGCAAAGTGAACAAGTGTTTCCTTGTGCTCAGAAGGAAACTCCCTCTTCAGATGGAGCCCATTCCTTCTTGTCTTGTTGTTGGGCATCACCGAAAAGAGACTAACAAAATCCTCTTTGCACCTTCCCTTTATAGATTTACTTTACTTATAGATGGATAAGAGCCTCCCTGAACCTTCCATTTTCTAGGCTAAACCCTTCCAGCTCCAATCAGTCTTTCCTCACAAGAGAGATGCTTAAGTCCCTTAATCATCTTCATGGCCCTTCAGAGGACTCTCTAGTATGTCCAAGTGTCCCTTGTGAGGCCAGAACTGGACACAGCACTCTACAGTGGCCTCACCAGTAATTCAGAAATGGGAAGGATCTCCTACCTTGACTAGAATATTCCTTGACTGGTAACATTTCTCCAGTATGGCCCAGGGTGCATTTAGCCTTTGCTGCAAGGGCACGTTTGTGGCTCATGACAACTTGGCATTCACCAGG